TGCTTCCCTGATGGGCTTATTCCCAGTGGTTGCTCCTGGGTATAGAGCTCAAGTTGTCACCTGGCTGGGAGTTGCGGGGTGGAGGCTGCTCTCATATCTGCTGCGTGGAGAGCTGTGGAAGGGGATCAGGGCCCCAGTCGTGTCTTGAGGGTAGAGTGATGGGCGCAAATGTTTGAACCCGTCCCTCAAGAGCATCGCCAGGCCGGCGGGGGCGGCCTCACTCACAGAGCCCCCCGTTCTCCCGAGCAGCAGCTGAAGAAGACGGTGGACGAACTGCAGGCCAAGCTGGCCCTGGCGAAGGGCGAGTACAAGACGGCCCTGAGGAACCTGGAGACGATTTCCGACGAGATCCACGAGCGGCGGCGCTCCAGCGCCATGGGGCCCCGTGGGTGCGGTGTCGGGGCCGAGGGGGGCAGCCCGGCTGCCGAGGACCTGTCGGGGCGCAAGCCCGAGCCTGACGCTGTTTCTGGTGAGTCAGGGGCACGTGTGCAGCTAGTGCGACCTGCTTCCTGGGGCCTCCCCCATTGGTGGGACACTGTGTTCACCAGGATGCTACTGAGCATCCTCAGAGTCAGGCTTCTGTGGTTAGATATGTTTGGGAAATGTTACACTTTCACTCCTGACATTCCAAGTACACGTTAGGGCATTGAAGGCTCTGAGAAGTCCCGCAGGGAAGAAGAGTCATCTGGAATAGGGACTTGGGAATCAGATTTGATTCAAGTCCTGACCTTCCCACTATGACTAGTACATGACATGGGCTAGGGTGTAACTCCTGTCTGTTTCTTCCCCTGTAAAGCGGGGGGCACATGAAGGTCCCTGTCGTCCACTACAGAGAGCGGTCGTCAGGATTAAATGAAGGAGCGCCGGCCTCCAGTGGTCACTGCACATGTGTCTGTCCTTGGGGACCTGTTTTCCAAGGACCACCCCTGGGAAATGGATACAGAGGGTTGTGGTGGCTCCCTCTATGTCAGTCCAGAAAACGCCCCCAGCACTGTCTCTGCACACATCCTTCTCTGCCTTTTCTGTGGAATGATGGCCGTTGGCCCTTCCCCACACTCTGCCCTTGGGTGTTCCTTAATTCAGCCAATAAACATTCAAGTGCCAGGCCCCAGGTAAAAGAAAAGGAAAACTAATTTGAGCAACCATGATGTGAGCACTTTAGTATACATCATTTCATAAACCCTGTGTGGAGAGGAACATGAAGCTCAGAGAGGTTAAGTACCTTGACCAAGGCTACACAGCAAGTAGTGGAGATGGGATTTGAACTCAGAGCTGAGCCCATTTTCTGTGCTCAGCATTACAGTACTTCTCGTGGATGATCATCTGTGGGATGCTACAGGCTGTTTTTAAAGCAGAGGGAGGAGGAAAGGGGAGTGGGATCATGTGTGGGCTGAGGGGGAAATAGTTCAAAGCTGAGGCGGCTTTCAAACCGTGAGAATGACGTGTCTCTGGGCCTTGGTCATAACGGTCCACAAAACAAACGAGGCACAAGCTACAGAGCACTGTAAGGGAACTGTGTTCTCCTGTGGCCAGTAGTGATCTAGCTGGGCTCCGAGCACGTCTTTTATGAGATCACAGGTTACTCAGAAGATGGTCCCAGCAGACACTCCACGCAGGGCCGTCTCGTCCAGCAGCTTCTGCTGCCCATCCCGTGGAAGGAGGCAGCCCTGAAGCCTGGCTGGCTTGGTTCAGGGTGCGTTACGCAGGCCAGTCCTCTTCCTGTGCACGGGGGGGTCTGTTTGGGGGACTGGGGTGGATAAAACCCCCGATCTGTGGCTGAATTCACCTTCCACCTTCAGGCAGTGTCTGGTGACGCTGACTTCTAGGGCAGGGCTGGAAAGTGATGGTAAGGACACTGAGTATCCATGGGGTCCAGCGGCTTCCCTGCAAGGTGAAGGGATCCTGGGATCAGGTGGTTGGACCCTGCAGCTGCCAAGCCCTGTCTAGCTCCTGCCTGCAGTGGATGCGTCTGGAGACGTGTAAGGAACTGGGTGGCTGGCTGTCAGGCCTGGGTGATGGCTGTTCTCTCTCCTCCTAGTGGCCTCCGAGGCCTTCGAAGATGACAACTGCAGCACCTTTGTGTCTGAAGATGATTCGGAGACCCAGTCCGTGTCCAGCTTCAGCTCGGGTCCCACGAGCCCGTCGGAGATGCCTGAGCAGTTCCCCGCAGCCGTGAGGCCCGGCAGCCTGGACCTGCCCAGCCCCATGTCCCTGTCGGAATTCGGGATGATGTTCCCGGTGCTGGGCCCCCGCAGTGAGTGCAGCGGGGCCTCCTCCCCTGAGTGCGAGGTGGAGCGAGGTGAGTTGAGCCCCCTGCTCGGGGGAGCCTGCCCCGGAGGCCACGCTCAGGGCCTCGGTGCACATGCTGTGGTGTGGCAGCCTGAGATGGCGCCCAGCTCCACTCCCAACCTGCTTCCTTCTGTATCTGCCATCACAACAGTCCTCTTGACAAGCACCTGCTAGAGAGGTTTCTGCTTCCCAGCTGTTACATGCGTGTGACAGATTTCATCTGCAAAGATGAGGAACATATACGGTTTCCCGCACAACGAAAGCAGTAGGCAGTCCTGTGATGGAAGTGCTTGTGTGATGCGCACAGTGGGGCCACACTGGGAGTCTGGAGGTTGAGCCCGCTGATGGGCTGGGGCCCAGGGGACCCTTGGAATTGTCGGTACTCACCCCGTGATCTTTACGTTTCTACAGGAGACAGGGCGGAAGGGGCAGAGAATAAAGCAAGTGACAGAACCAGCAACCATCGGGGTCTCGGCAGCAGCAGCGGTGACAGTGGCGAGAGCCCGAGCAGCACGTCCCCCGAGGGCCAGGCCTTGGAGGACAGGATGCGGCAGCTGTCCCTGCAGGGCTCGAAGGGCAGGGACAGGGTCATCGAGGACATAAACGTGGTGCAGATCGGCTGATCGAGCCGCGGCTCTGGCCCAAGCGCATATCAATATTTAGACATGAAACTGTATGGAGAACAGTTGTGCCAATAATCATTTAATATATGCCAAATCCCAAGCATTGCCTCTAAACTGCACTAATGACGTTTCAGTGAACTTGAGAGCTGAAGATGTTTCTTCTGGGTAAGAGCTCTCAGGCTGGTGTTTTTCAGCACAGAGTCGTTGCAGGTGGGCTGTGACCAGGCCCACGGCCTTTGTGGAATGTCCCCTGTCAGTGCTGTGGAAGCAGTAACCAGTTCCCGGGAAAAATCCCCGAGCCGGTAAAGGGGCCGGGGAGCTGAGCCCCCAGCGGGCTCGACGGCTGGCTCGATTGGGGAAATGGCCTTGTTCTCTCCTTTATATCCCAGGGGATCTAAAGGAAAACAGGTACACAAGACAAAACTCAAATATTCAGAATGACACCTTTTTGACCCAATGAAGGCTTAAAAAAAAAAAAATCCAAGGACACAATTCATTTTCATCATCTCTGGTTTTCAGAGGGGGCTTTTAAAAAAGTGAATTTGCTGGGACACCCATTAAAATCATCTTCTGTAAAAGGTCACCAAGAGCTGCACTTTTGGGGGTGGGAAAGGTGAATGCTGGTGTGGGGATGGGGGGGGGTGGGACGAGGGCAGCAGGGGCCTGTCACAGAAGGGGGTTCATGGCTGTGGAAGAAAAGGTTCTATAGCGTAAACCTCATCCTACCGGCCCAGGGGACTTATTCTAAGAGAAGTGCATGGGGAATGGTTGCCAGTGTTGTTCTAGATTGACAAGGTGTTTCTTTCTCTGTAGGCTGTAACTTTAAAAATAAAAAAATATTTAAGGGTTATGCTGCACTAGTATTTCTTAGAGGAAATTGTTCCTTACAGCTAGGAAAGGGAGGAGGCACATGTTGGCAAAGGCTGTTAAACAGAAGCAATGGTGTCTGTTATGCTAAGTGTAAGTGTTCTATTACTGCTTTTCTTGTTTTCATGGTTACACATATTTAGAGCATTGTATTTTATTTGTCCCTTTTTGTTAAGAAAACTTAGCGTTTCTAAAAGAAAGAAAAGCAACCCCATTCAAGTTGCCCATTAAGTCTGTCAAGCTTATATATTTGTCATTTGTGTAAATCCCTTCATACTGTCCTGTTTTCTCCTTTTTTAATGACTGATACAGTATCCTAATTACAAGGTTATTTTGTACTTGTCTTAATACCTTGAGTGTAATAAAAATGGCTTAAGAAAATGTCTTTCTGTGACTTCAAATAAGAAATCCTGATGTTGCCTAAATCTTCCAGACAATCCTCTTGCCATAAGGAAGAGCATGGAATGCAGTGGTCATCTGTTCTTATTTTTTTTCAGTTAAGGTCCTGGATCCTAACAAACAATTTAAGCCCTGATTACCAGGTTTGAATCAGAATTCCACTTCTGCTGCTACTAAAGCCGAGCAGTACGGAGACGCAGTGGCAGGAAAATAAATAAAGATGAGGTGCTTATGCTGGAGGCCTGGTTCTCCTGTCTGTGGCACCTGGGCATCTCCTAGGTCTCAGCCCCAGAGGTTGATTAGTGATTCAGGTATACTTGGGCACTGGACTTCGAAAAGCTCCCCAGTTGTTTCTATTCTCTTTCTATATTGGTCCAACCAAAATTAATCTTTACTTGTACATCGTGAGTTCTGTTTAGAGCTCTGTTACAGAATTCAACATTACAATATAGTAAATTGTTTATATAGGTCTCCTCCATTGGATTTTGAGGGCAGGGATTAGGTCTTAGTTTGCATCCCGTATAAGATCTTTAACACAAAAGGTTCAAATCATGTCTATAATAAATATACCTCTTATGCTTTAGATTTTTCTTTAAAAAGTAATAGAAAAGTAATCCACCTAAAATATGCTAAAAGTGAAAGCACTATTTATCAAAGTGAAATCTCACTATCAATCACTAGTACAATCTACCGCTATCCTGAATGTAAAAGAACAGACTTTTTTTGTAAAAGTGTCCATTTTCATGCAAGTAATGAGTTCTGCTTTAGATGGAACATACCACATGAAGTCCTCTAATAATTTCTCTAGGTTAAACTATTCAGTTTCCATAAGTATAAACAAACATTTTATTTCAATTAAAGATAATAGAAATACAAAAGTTTTAATAATTAGAGATGATGAAAAATCCCACTGTTTAATTTTTAGATCTTTAAAGTCTTCAGCATCATTCTACTCTGATGAATTTTTATGTAAACAACTGGGAATTTATACATAACAGTATCCTGGCAATTTTTTCAAACGCAACCCAATTGCCATATATTAAATCCTCAATTGTATTTTCTTTAGAGTGATGTTGCCATAAGAACACTGAACTACAGAGCAATTTAAAAAAGACTATACAAACTAAATTGTAATGTCTTCAATGTCTCAGACTACTACTTTCATCAACCTGATAAAAACTACACTGATGAATATACCTCAGTTCTCTTTACATGAGTCAATGGGAGACAGGTATCTAACTTCAACAACCTTCATTCTTAAGCATCAGCATCTTCATGCTAAGTTAATTGGTATTAAAACTTTATCCTTTCATAACCTATGGGCAACAGTAAGCATTTAAAGCCATAAATAATGCAGAATTAAAATCTCACGGTAACATGATTCATTTGATAATTAGGTGCCCAGGATGTACAGCAGACTCACGACACAAGCAGGTCTACCTCAACAACATGCTCTGCCAAGAAGACAACATAACATAAATACTTCAGAATATTATCCCAGCCTACTGTTCCACTCAGTGAGTGAGTCTACACCCCTCACTTTCCTCGTCTGGTCTCGGTTCCCTCTTAGCAAGGGCATCTATCTCAGTGCTTGACTGAGCCTAATCTTTAAGCATCTACACTTTTTTGTACAATGTGGCCCCTAAATGCAAGCCCACTCCATATATACACAAAACCATGTAAATGGTACTTCTAAGTGACATAGGGTAATTCTGACTACATACAGTTCTCACCACACACCCTGACTTCAGCACCAGATTCCACAGGAACGCTTTTAGAGATTTAATTCTGTTCTGATGACTGTGTTCAGTGTCCTGGAGATCTGTGTCCTCACTTGAAGAGATGATGTTTGCTGAGTATAAGATCCAGCTATTGCTGAGGTTTCTCTGTCACTGCAGTTGTGTTGTCTTGATGGGGATAATACTATTAAAGTCCAAGAAAAACGGTCCTTCTTGTTTAGGCAAAAAAGTACTGGGAATGATATTGTAGATCCCAGCAGGTATATTTTCTAGTTCCAGGTAGCAAAACCCACACCTATATTCAGGGAAAATGAGAACAAGGTTTTCAGGTGATGATGCCACAGAAAGTAAAGTGTAAATTAGATAGCAATCAAAATGCCAACACTACCTGTAGTCACCACTAGATTTCCTCTGAAAGCCATGGGGACCAGGGTCTCCCACCACAGAAACTGTTACAACTTCAAATCCAACACTATATTGCCTAGCAGTAAAAAAGAACACATTATTGCTGTTATTAAGTCGTCTCAAACACATACCCAAAATAACTATACCTAAAGTGCAGATGGACTATTAAATCAAGTACATGCTTCTAAAGCTTCAGTAGGAGGAAACAACACTCTGAGACACATGCATACTATTTTTACTCTTAATTACAGAAAACACCATTTATGTTTTTAAATTGATGCCATAAAGATTAACATTTTATTAAACTTACTTTAGAAGAGACTATTTTTACCACAGGCTCTCAGAGAATAATGTTAAATTTAAATGATAAAATAGTGTATCAGGCAGAAAAAGAACAGGAGAGGACCCTGAAATAAGATCTAAATTTACAGAAATAATTAGCGTATGGTACACATGGCATTCCAAATCAGTAGGGAAAGGATTACTTATGTAGGTGGTGATAAGGTGACAAAAGCTTAGAAAAAAAATTGTTAAACTGTATTTCACACCAAATACAAAATATACTCCACATGGACTTGAAACAAATAATGTAAAAAATAAAACCATAAAAGAACTAGAAGAAAATACGGTAAAAATTTATTTGATATGAGGGTGAGAGTTCCTGCCCACAGCAAAATAAACCAAAAGAAACAGATCTGATTATAAAGAAACATTTTTTTCTATGTGAGAAAAAAAATTAATCTGGGAAAAATACCTGCAAATACGTGAAGGAGTTAATACCTTTACATACATACCCTTACTCACGCTTACAATTAAGAAAAACGTGACAAGTCCAACAGAAAAATGGTCAAAAGACAAGAATATATGAATAAAGGAAAAAATACACATCGTCAATAAACATTTTTCCATATTCAAGCTACATGGTAATGAAATACAAAAGGGCAATTAGGTACCTTATTTCACTTATCAAACTGGTAAAGGCTTTTAAAATGACATGGAAAAATAGCTTAGTCTTATCTAAAGGATAAGTTTCTTTTGAAATAGTCTATAATTACAGGAAGGCAAAGTTAAGCCTAGTTTTATTTAGAAGCTAGTACTATTTTTATTTGTATTCTCTGTATTTTTTAAACCTTTTAAAATTGTGAAATATAACACAGTGCATATAAAACAAATATACAGCTTAACAAATAACTGATAAAGTGAACAAACACCTGGGTTACCCCCACCTCAGTCAACAAAACCCTCTCAGCACTGCAGAAGTCCCTGTGTGCTCCCTTTTGATCACCGCCTCTGTCCCCCAGAGCTAACTTGCCTGGTCATCACTTTCCTGCTTTGTCTATAGTCTGACTACATAAGTGTGCATCCTTCAACAATAGTTTAGTTTTACCTGTTCTTGACTTCATACAAGTGGAAGTCAAGAACAGGTAAACAGTCACATATCCTGTTATGTGGCTTCTGTCGCTCAGCCTTGCTCCCAAGACGTACCCATGCTGTGGGGAGCTGTAATTTATTTTCATTGTTACGGCAGACTCTATTACTGTATAACTGTTTTATAATCTTAAATGCCACTGATGAACACTGGCTTTTCTAATTTTTGGCTCTTACACAATTTATTGGCCATTTGGATTATTTCTCCTATGACATGCCTATTCAAGTTTTTGTTTTTATTTTTTAAAAACTGCAGACTTGGGACTTCCCTGGTGGTCCAATGGTAAAGAATCTGCCTAACAATGCAGGGGACACGGGTTTGATCCCTGGTCAGGGAACTAAGATCCCACATGCCGCCGGGCAACTAAGGCCACATGCCACAACTACTGAGCACGTGTGCCTCAACTAGAGAGCCTGTGTGCCGCAAACCACAGAGCCCATGAGCCCTGGAGCCTGCGCGCCACAACTAGAGAAGATAAAACCTGCACGCCCCAACTACAGAGAAGCCCATGCGCTGCAACGAAAGATCCCACATGCCTCAACGAAGATCCCGTGTGCCGCAACTAAGACCTGACGTAGCCAAAAAAAAAAACACACAAAAAAACCGCAGACTTTTTCTTACTAATGTAGGATATTTACAAATCTTTTTATGTGTTCTTTGTGTCTTAAGTCTTTCCTTATCCTGAGGTTCTCATCTCCTGTATTAGTAATCCACCTGGAATTGATTTTTAGATTGGGTGTGAGACAGGGGTCTAATCACCTTTTTGGTATGTGGATATTAATTATTCCAGCACCATTATTGAATGGTGCCCTTTCCTCACTCCTCTTTAATCATAAATTAAGCGTCCACACATATATATATTTCAAAACCCTATTCTGTTCCACTAAACTCATTTTTAATATAACATTATTAAGAAAGTTATTTATCACAAACCTTGGTCCTCTTAGCTCGATCAGTAGTGGCCCAGTCTTCTCTATATGGAATTGGTAAATGGGGTTATTTTTGTGAGTCTCTTGGAAATTTCCACATCCTCCGGCACTCTGACCACTCCACTTTCCATTAATCTAATAAAACAAAGCTTTTGTATTAACAAAACTTCACATTCTATAATTCTATTTTAAAGACAAAATTCCTTTGTGCCTTAAAAAAAAAAGAAAAAAGAAAAAAAAAAGCAACTCTCCACCGTGGCTGCATCCTCTCTCTCCAGGCTTTATTGCCACCAGCAGCCAGCATCCCTCTCCAAGTCAGCCCGGCTACTTTGCTACTCTCAGCCCTGTCTCCAACTCTCAGCCTTCAAGTCTGCCCTGCCAAGAATTCTCCCTAAAATCCTCTTCCACACGTCCAGCCCGCCCTGCAGAGTCAATCTCAAATTCTGCTTACGGCCTTCCCTACTGACCAAGGTTTGCATTAGTCTTCTTTCTCTGAATTAATTTTTTTCCCACAGAATCACTTAACGGTGCTCACTGAAGAGCTTGTATTCCAACCCAGACTGGAGACTACTTACATTTCCCCTGTAGTCCTGTCAAGTCCCAGAATGTTTTTACTTTGTAAGAAATTGTTAAACATGAAAAAAAAAAAATGAGAAAAGGAGAAAAAGGAAAGGGAATTCTAAGATTTCGATGAGATTATGATCCAGAGAAAAAATTCTCTTACCTGCTTTGATATGGTATATGGTGACGGAATCTTTGAAAAAGTAAAGCTGCATGCTGAGTATACCTAGAGTAAAAAAAAAAAAAAAAAAATTATTATAGTGATAAAATTTATGCTTATAAAAACACTAAAGTGATGAAAGAATGTTTTGGAAGACTAAGAAATTAGTTGGCATATATAATAGTCCTGATTCTGTAGGCAGCCTGGCATCAGGGCAGGAATAAACAACTGCGGGTTGGGCGGCTAAGGCTCTGTCTGCTGCTAACTGTATGACTCAGGACATACCACAATCTCCATAGGCCTTGGCTTCTACATGTGAAGAATGAAGGGGTGAAAGCAGCTCCCAAAGTCCCTTTCGTCACTAAAAATCTATTCAAATTGAGCTTCTTGACTGATCTACGACAAACAAATCTATGCAGAACAAAATTACGACGGCCTTCCCAGCTACCTGAGAGCCATGTTTATAGGCAATCGATTTCCTTTCACTAAGTTCAAGGTCTTCTTTTTTAATTCAATAAAAATATTATATAGACTAAAGGAGCTTTTATTGCTCTGTGAATTTATTAGTCCAACATACCAAATTACCTCAGGACTAAACTACTACTCTAAAAATTAAAATGTTCAGTCAAAATGTTATTCAAAATAAAAATTTTACCATTCAAAAGCATTATTTTCTGCATGAAGCATCATCATAATTTAATACTGAATTGTTATACAGATAAACACACACTCAACAATATATAGATTAATCTTTATAAATAAACTTTTTTGTAGATAATCCCACTTACAAAGCAGAGATGTTACGTACTTTCTATTATTGTTCTGTCATGTTGGTTTACTTACCCGGACTGTGTAATGGATTGTGTTCTGTTTTTCATACTGAGAAACCACTAATGTAAAGGTATGGGTCCCAGGTGTGGTTAGCTTTATCTTAGTTAAATAATGAGGGCTGTTAATTCGAATCCCATCAATGTACGGAGGTGGGTCAGCTGCAAATAAACAAGTAGGTTTACAGAAGACAGGACTTTAGTTTTTAAGTTTTATGGTTGATGTAGGAAAAATAATTAAATGGATGGACATCCCCTTAATTAATTCATCTTTAAAATATAATGTACTAAAGAATTAAATTTCAATTTAAAACTTTACAGTTAAGCAATTTAAAACTTTAAAATGAAATAGTTTCTAATAAGTAAAAAGAGATCTTTTGGAATACATCCAATCCCTGCTATTTGCCCTATGTTTTATTCTTCTCTCCTGGTAGAGGATTTTAAAATCAAGATTAACTTTTTTTCTGTTAAGGAAATTTTTAAAAAAGATACAAAGAAGTAAACATATATATGTTTATATATATATAAACATATATATAAAAGTAAACATATGTTTATATATATAAACATATATATAAACATATATCTATTTCCCACCACTCAGAATTAAATTAACATATTTTTTGTCATACTAGCAAAGTTCCTTTTAACCACCACCCTTAATATTCCATTCCACTCTGATGGATTTGATGGGCATCCTTTCAGACTTTCTCTCTCTCTCTCTCTCTCACACACACACACACGAGCATGTATCTAAAAAAACAGACAGTATATGTCTTATCTTTCATTTTTCACTGAAGTTTTTGAGATCCATGTTGATCTACATAGATACAGTTTATTCCTTTTAAATCAATGTGTACAGTATTGTATGCCATCATATGAATAGGACATATTTTATCTATACTCCCCCATCTAGTTATTCAGACAATGTGGAGATTTGGATTATTTCCAATATTTTGCTATCACACACAATGCTGCCTGTCATATCCTTTCACAGTCTCATGAATTAAGGCTGATACAATAAAATCATTTCATGCATGTCAATTAAGTCATTTAAGATCAATGCTATATCACTGAGGTTATTTAGGCACAATGAATATTTATAAAGTAATTCGTAGAAAAAATTTTAGTATCTCAAACAGGTAATAAGTCTCTCAAGCTTAGAGGTGGTGCGATCTAGTGTGAAAGGGAAAAGAATGGGCACGTCTGTGGTCCTGAAAGGTGTGACCTACGTCTCAGTTTACTCTCCTGTCAGATGGAGAACGGTCTGATTTGCCTCAGAGTATTGTGATGAAAACAAAACTAGAAACCAGAAAGTATCCTGAAATGGCAAAGTCACTATGTGTAAGAGAGGAAGCATTGTGTTTTAAAAAATCCAAGTACAAAGAGTAACAAGGTGTTTGAAATTCAAAAGCCATGTAACATGTTAATGCTCGGAATATACTCACAAAATTTGTGCTTTTTTGGTTATATAATGACCAACATGAAAAATGGAAAATTTATCTAGTTTAACTTGACATTTATCATTGGACCTACCGTGTGCCACGCACATGCCAGAAAGCCTTGGGATACCCTCAATGCAGCATAATGGGGAAGAAGGCCATGTCTTCCTATGGTTAAGCAAAACGAAACTGGACAAAACCCCTTTTGATCCCATCTCTCCCATCAGTGCCCATTTCTCTGCACAGCCTTCTTGAAAGAACGGTCAGTGATTGCTTCCTTACCTCAGGCCTTCCTCAATCCACTCCACCTGGGCTTCCAGCCCACCTCTTGCCAACTCTGTTCTTGTCAAGGTCAAAGATGCTGCCAGGGCACTAGGTCCAACAGTTTCTTCTCTAGCCTAATCTCACTGGACCTCAGAAATAGCAATGGGTGGAGATGTCCACTCTTTCCTGCATGGAGTATTTTCTTCCCTTGGGTTATGTGAAACCTTACTCTGTCTCGTCAGGTACTCTGTTCAAATTCTTCTGTGGTAACTTGCCCTCTGCTCAACCGTAAGATGCCAGAGTCCAAGGACCAGGTGCTGGGTGTTTGTCTCTGAACCTACAACTCTCTCCGTAGGTGATTTATATACAGTCCTACCTTCAAATGCTTTCCTTATCCCGACTCCTCCTTCTGTACCTGCGGCCCTACCCTCGTCCCAGAATCCTGCTCAAAACCCCAACTGCCTACTTGGCACCTTCACTTGGAGAGCTAACAGGGATCTCAAATTTAACAAAACCAAAAATTAACTTTTGATTTTACTCCACAACAATTCTGCTCCCTCCCCTGCTCCCACCAACATTTACATCTCAGTCAATGTTACACCTTTCTATGGCTCAAGCCCAAAACACAGGAATCATCCTTGACTCCTCTTTGACCACACATTAACCCAAGTCCTGACAACCCTAACCAAGCCCAAATCTGTCCACTCTCCATCTCCACTTTAGCCCTCTCAGTTCAAACCACCGTCACTTCTCACATAAATAAAATCACCTAATTGGGTTCTCTGCTTCCATTTTTTGTCCCCTCCAATATATGCTACAAATAATTTTCTTAAAAAAAAATCAGATAATGCCATTTTCCTGATTAATACCCTCCAAAGATTTCCCATCGCACTTAGAGCAAAATCCAAACCCTTTCCTGGGCTGATAGACCTCCTGTGATCTAAGCCTGCATACCTCTGACCATTTCTGTGATACCACACTGCCCAGGCCTCCTGGCCTTTCTTCTGTTACCAGAAAACACCTATCTTTCCCTCATTTTAGGGTCCTTGCACTTGCTGTTCCCTCTGCTTATAATGCTTTTACCTCTACTTCTAATGCTTTTTCCTCTACTCCTTTGCATGACTCCTGTTCGTGATTTGGAGTTCCTCTTATCCCTTCTTAAAGAGGCTTTCCATGGCCACCCAACCAAAGTAACCAATGTGACCCTATGCATTTCTTTACAAATATGTGTCACTATCAGGTCTTTTTTTTCTTATTGTTTGTCTCCCAAACTAGAAAACAAACTAACAGCTCCTATCATGAAGTGATAAAATTTTTTTTAATGTGAAAGCAAAATGGTCTCAACCCAGTATGTTAATGCCTTAGGGAAAGATTTACTTTGCCTGGTAGGAAGGTTATCACAGAGAAAATAACATAAACTGGATCTTAACCACATTCATTACACAGAATAGGGTAAAAGAAATATGTGGGCAGAGGGCAGGTAGAAGAGACTCTCGGCAGGAGAAACTGTGTGAAAACAGGGGCAACAAGGGCATGGTGTGTTCAGAAGCCAGACCCACTGTGAAATGCTGGGGCATGAGATAAAGGGGGACAGCGAGGTGAAGTCGGAATATAAAAAGCCTTAGACATCAAGCTGAAGAGCTTGGATTTTATCCAAGAGTCCATGGAAAACCACAGAATTTTTGATCAGGGAAAAAAGATAGGATTTAAATTTCAGAAATAAAGCTCTGACAGCAATGTGCAAGAGTGTAGAAATCCCAAATTCCTGAGGTCTCTAAATTAAAAATAAATCAAAACAAAACACCCAAGTAGCATAAATACCTACCCATCTGTCTGAGTAGTTTCTATTAGTCTATCAGCATAATTATTAATTTCTGCATATCTACATAAAATTTTTCATTTTCAAATTAATCACACAAATAGGATTTTAATGTTTGTTTGAATGTCTGTTTACTAAACATACCTGGGTAATAAACTTTTTTCCCATCAGTCTTGTATACAACCATTGTGATAAATTCTCGATTATTTGCGAAATCATCCTAAAAGCACAAAGAATCTGATATGGTTAGGAAAATGGGCTCAAAATGCTCCTGTGTGTGTGTGTTCATGTATGGAGGTGGGGAGGGGAGGGGAAGGAGATTATTTCTAAGTTTAAGAGCATTTCTATTTAGTGTTATTAAAAAATGTCATTTTTCTCAATTGTCATTTCAATAGATGACCATATTGTACGAAGCAAGATACTAAAAAAAACACTCTAAAGCCATTAAAATCATGGTTACCCTTTATAAAATCAGGCCCAATGAATCGTTTCCAAACCCTCTTTAGCATATTTTTATGTTAATATTGTTAAGATCTAAGCATATAGAATCAACACTAAAACCCTCTCTGGAAAGCATAAACTCCCTCATATTTTTCTTCATAGATGATTTTTGAACGAGATTTTAAGTGTATAATTATAAATGACCAATTTCCTTTGAGGAAAATATTCATTTATCTAAGTAAACACTATTTTCAAGCCACCTATATAAATGAAACAGGCTGGTGATCAAGTTACATATCTTGCTCACAATGGTCTAATTATATTTAAAAGAATTTCTGTATGGGATATAAGAAGGGTATCAGTACCTTGTCTGTTATGTGTCTACTAAGCAAAACCCAAACCGCAGCGCCCCCTTGTGGACACTGCACCTCCAACTTGTACTGGGGATTGTTGGCCAGGCTATAGGCATCTTTCACAGGTCCTTGCTTAGCATCCCAAGTGCTAAAGGACAAAATCAACAAAGAAAGTAGTAATTAAATTTCTCATAGAGCTAAACTGAAATACTATTTTTGTTTTGTGTTTCAAATACAATTAGGTTATCGGGTTTTCTTGTTTTTTAAATTTTTGGCATAACCAAGAAGCATACAAGGATAATAACTATTACACGATAGTCATCTGTGGGCATGACAAAAAGAGAGAATACTAGTCTTCCCAAATAATTTCATTTTAAATGAAAAAAAGGGAGACTACTATAAAGCATATTCTGAAATGTGCCAAAAAAGTTACCTGTGAATACATGTTGACTCTTTAAAAAGACCTGGATTCCAACTCAAATAAATCACATCATAATACTGGCAGAGATCATCCCATGAGATCCAAAATATTCCTGAAAATCAGATGTCTTTGTTAGTCTAAAAAAAAAATCTTAATGACTTGTCAGTTAAGTACATTTCACACTGTTAAAGCATGTTATTTATTTAAAGATCAAATATTATTAAATTAAAAAGATATGTACCATTGTCTATTTTCTGAGCTGTTCGAGGATCAAAGTTTAAACACTTTTGCAACTCTGGGGTCCAGTTTTTTACATCGTTTTCACTATATCTTCCTTTCCAACGTAAATGACTCCAAGGATTTTTCAGTTGGATAAATCGCAGCCCCTATTTAAAAAACCAGGAGGTAATGAAGTTGCAAAACAGTTTTACCATATTTTTATTAGTTATATCATTCTCCAAGTGAGGATGCAATTTGAATACTTATCCATTCTTTTCCCTACAAATAAATTTGAAATTACTATTCTTTAATCGATACTTCCCCGAATCCCATATCTGATCAAAAACTATAAATGGCTACCTATCCCTAGAGCTATGCTGTCCATATGTAGCCGCTAATCACACGTGATTAGTTATATTATAATTAAATCGGGACTTCCCCAGCAGTCCAGTGGTTAAGACTCCGAGTTCTCAATGCAGGGGGCACAAATCTGATCCCTGGCTGGGGAACTAAGATCCCTCATGCCTCATGGCGCAGCCAAAAAAAGAAAAAAAAAATTAGTATCATTTAATTCAGTTTACAAATCAGTTCCTTAGTCACAGTAGCCACATTTCAAGAGTTCAAGGACCAAGTGTACTAGTAGCTAATGCATCGCACAGCACAGACACAGAACACTGTCATCATCACAGGAAGTTCTACTGGGCTGCCCTGCCTTAGAGAATCGAGTCCTTCCTCTCACAATCCCACAAATGATCCTTATTCAATTTCACCTCTAAATGCCTTTGCTCACACTGCTCCTGTTTCTGGGAGGCACTCTCTGATCCCTTTTAACTACTCTTCTCTTCAGATCCTCTTTAGCTTCGTTCTCCACTGTCTCTCAGTGAAGACTGGAGCAATGAAAAAAACACGAACTTTGGAGTCATAATGAAATGGGACCAAATTCCAGCTCTCCTATTTATTGGCTTTATGGGCCTTGGTTGGTCATTACTCTCTCTGAGCTGTTGTGAAGATTAAATGGAGTAACATATGCAAAGTTTCTAGCACTTAGCAACTTCCTTCTCATTTTAATTACTACCTCTCCTTTAAAGTTCATAGTGCTAACAATCTGTATTACGTTAGTTTACAACAAATAATATCCTATCTTATATCGTTTCCTACTTGTGAAATGCAGGAGTCTTGTCTCCCCAATGCAACTATAAACTCCTTGAAATGGTAACACTATTATCCTTTTCAGACGTCTCCACTGAGTTTATGGAACACAGTATGCACTCGGTAAATACTGGGCATGTCTACAGAGTTGATTACATTAATTCAGAAAAACAAAAGAACCTGTAAATCCAAAAGATTTGTCTTATTTCAAGGAGTCAACTTAGAAAATTGTGCTTTTTCTAATGATGTCACAAATCAAACTATTTGGAAGACATTTGAAAAAAAACACATTCCTTTGCTATTTCAAATGTGGCAAAACATGGCCTGGGGAAGATGTGATTTCTGGACGTAAGCCAGACTAATTACTCTCAGGCCATATTCCCTAGAATCTCATTAATACAATTTCTGTTCTCAATCTCTTCTACACCACTTGTGCCTCACCCTGCCCCTGCCACGCATCAGCCAACAAACCTTGAACTGTAACTCCTTTCTTTTCATAAAACCTATTTCTACATGAGCAGGAAATCTCCTTATTTCAGGACTCTATCACTTCTTAACGGAAGGAGTATACATATAAAGGAGAGGAAATTGCCGCTAAGCTTTTCAGAAGCAGGTCCCAGGTATCACTGACATTCAAGGGCACTTTTGGTGGGAATGTAAATCGGGTCCAGCCTTATGAAAACAATATGGAGATTCCTCAAAAAATTAAAAACAGAACAGTCATATGATCAAGTAATTCCACTTCTGGGTATCTGTCCACAGAAAACAAAAACACTAATCCAAAAAAGACATACCCACACCAATGTTCACTGCATCATCATACACAAGAGCCAAGATATGGAAACAACCTATATGTCCGTTGACGGATGAATGGATAAAGAAATTTGGTATACATATATACAATGAAATGTTAGCCATAAAAAAGAATGAATTCTTGCCATTTGCAACTACATGGATGGACCTAAAGGGTATTATGCTAAGTGCAATGTTAGAGAAAGATAAATACCATATGACTTCACTTATGTGTGGAATCTAAAAAACAAAACAAAACAGAAACAGACTCATAGATACAGAGAAAAAACAGGCAGTTGCCAGAAGGGAATGGGCTGGGGGGGAATGAGTAAAATAAGCGAGGGAGACTAAGAGGCAGAAACTTCCAGCTACAAAATAAATGAGTCATGGGGATGAAATGTTCAGCACTGGGAATACAGTCAATAATATTGTAATAACTTTGTATGGTGACAGATGGTGACTTATTGGGGTGATTATTTTATAACATGTAGAAATATCGCATCACTATGCTGTGCACCTGGATCTAATGCAGTATTGTACATCTATCATACCTCAATTTAAAATAAAAAATAAAATGTATAAAAAAATAAACAGGCAGCCTTAATCATTACAGAATAACTGACACATGGGATTGATACTGTGTAAACAATGTTAACTGATTTTTTTGTTTCTGTTTTTTTTTTTTTTTCTTTAGCGGTAAGCGGGCCTCTCACTGTTGTGGCCTCTCCCTTTGCGGAGCACAGGCTCCGGACGCGCAGGCTCAGCGGCCATGGCTCACAGGTCCAGCCGCTCCACGGCGTGTGGGATCTTCCCGGACCGGGGCACAAACCCGTGTCCCCTGCACTGGCAGGCGGACTCTCAACCACTGCGCCACCAGGGAAGCCCTTAACTGATTTTCAACAAGGCTATTATTTGAAATGTTTACTTTACTGAAATTTAACAACTTTTTAATGTTTTGTTTTCAAGTCAAACCACCGGTACCTATTTTTCTCTTAAATATGTTGTTTTTCTAGTTTCCCTTGAACAATCATAATAGTCTTATTACTTGAAGTAAATGATACATCTTTAGAGAAATATTCCTCATATTCAAGCTTACTTTCATATTGACTGTTTCATTATCTAAATTTAAATCTCTTGCCAGACACATTCATTAACACCTATCTCAAAGGATGTTCTAACAATAAAATTGTTACTAAATAATAGCAACTGTTATTCCCAATGTTTTTTTTTTTTTGCGGTACGCGGGCCTCTCACTGTTGTGGCCTCTCCCGTTGCGGAGCACAGGCTCCGGATGCACAGGCTCAGAGGCCATGGCTCACAGGCCCAGCCGCTCCGCGGCATGTGGGATCTTCCCGGACTGGGGCACGAACCTGTGTCCCCTGCATTGGCAGGCAGACTCTCAACCACTGCGCCACCAGGGAAGCCCCCCAATGTTGTTGTTTTTTTTTTTTAACATCTTTATCGGGGTATAATTGCTTTACAATGGTGTGTTAGTTTCTGCTTTATAACAAAGTGAATCAGTTATACATATACATACATTCCCATATCTCTTCCCTCTTGCGTCTCCCCCCACAATGTTTTAATTGGTGTTTGTGGCAAACTACATTCCTGAAACAAACACAAACCTCTCAGCTTATTCAATTTCACATAAATTTTTATATTTTTTGCTTTATGTAGTCAATATTTATTCCACTTTCAAAGGAAGAGACAATTCTACACAGAATGTTTGGAGGCATCACAATGGGGGCTGATTTAGAAAGCTTTGAGACTATAAATTTCTAAATGTTGCAGCAGGTCCCAATTGCCTTTGTAATTCATACAGTTCCATGTGCCACATACGAAAATCAGACTAATTAATACCCAGTAGTACTCTGTTCTTGCTGATTAATCACTACTTCTTTCTATAAGTTTAAACAGAAGAAACTGGAATACACTGCTAGTTAAACTTTCCAGTAACTAGACAGCTTAGTTTCTATACCATCAGGGAAAAAGAGTCCTTCCTTAATAATTTTTGTATCTTCTAATCCATAGAACAGATCTATTTTTCAGTGAAAAATAACTAATCAATAACATGAGAAGTAATGAAGTCAACCGTGCCAACACCCACACACAGAAAAAGGGTCTGAAAAAAGCCTCATAGCATGCAAGGCCTGTTAGGAAAACACTTGCAAACCCACTGGCATGTTTCCTATTCATAGGTATCCTCTTATTTTTTGTCCGTGCACAGCTATTCACTGAATGTCTACTACGCTCTATAGCCTGACACTGCGATTGACCCCCACCGCCAACAGACAGCCCAGAACCTTGAAGGACATGTTTTCACTTTGACCCTGCTACTTTTATGAGAAAAAAAAGAGGCATACAATGTTCCTGTTCTGTCATCAATATCTGTGCTGCTACTGTCATTACACTTCCCATCTTTTTATTTATAATTTCCAATGGTAGAGGTCAAGCTGTTTAATGTAATAGGTGGAATGATTTTAAAACTTGGCCTAAACCGTGATCTGTCAGCATTTAAAAGGCTCATGTATCACTTGGAATCCTTGCAATGTCTTACTAGCAAACAAGAAAAATAAGGGAAATAAATATAAGGCAAAACCTTGAACTCTCTGATGTCCAACACGGCGTATGCGTGTGTGGGAACCAGGCCCCACCTCTCGCCTTCAGCTTCAGTCATCACTCCAGTGGATGCGGTGATGAGGACGTCCCCTTTGTGAAACCTGGAATGGACCCAACAGACCAATAATCAAAGGAAAACACATCTGTACTCTCAGATCACACCATCTTTCCTTTAGCCTCATGGTTTACATGAAAATCTCCACAAAGTGGAAATCTTTTCTAAAATGGGCTATTCCCAACAGCCCCCAGAGAACTTGTAACAAGTACATTTCTATTTTACAGCAAATCAAAAAAACTATCACATTTCTTTCTTTTCCCTCCCAGTTCTAGACAACTTAATTCTCAGGTAGAAACCTATCAATGAAGGCAAATAAATGCTAAATTTTCAAATGATTTACAAATAAAGGTGAAGATGTGAAATACCAAATGTATTTTTCCCAAAGCCACATCCTTTTATTTATCCAATCAGTGAGCTTTCTGGTTTCAATACTGAATGTGTATTACTGTACAGACAGTTTTCCAGCTCTTCATGTGGATTATCCATTTAAGGCTTAAGCTATCTTCCTCTTTATGTTCTCACCCTTCTCTCTTCCCACCTTCCCTCAAATTGGTAAGTACTCAGGAAGTACAAAATTACATAGTCTAGACTCAAATGTTTGGATTCTCTACCATCTGGATTAACTGTAAGCATCAATGAGGATGACTGAGGGCTGGCTGGACCGAGTGCATAAAGTGAAGTCTACTTTAAAAACACAACGTCCCGAATAACTGAAAATGACAGCCTCTGCAATATCCACTCTAAATACGACATGAAGTTTTTATTTTTTAAATAAATTTATTATTTTTTTAAATTTATTTTTGGCTGAGTTGGGTCTTCGTTGCTGCGTGCAGGGTTTTTCTAGTTGCGGTGAGCGGGGGCTACCCTTTGTTGTGGTGTGTGGGCTTCTCATTGCGGTGGCTTTTCTTTTGCGGAGCACGGGCTCTAGGCGTGCGGGCTTCAGTAGTTGTGGCTCGTGGGCTCTAGAGCACAGGCTCAGTAGTCGTGACGCACGGGCTCAGTTGCTCTGCGGCATGTGGGATATTCCCGGACCAGGGATCGAACCCGTGTCCCCTGCATTGGCAGGCAGATTCTTAACCACTGCGCCTCCAGGCAAGTCCCAACATGAAGTTTCTAAATAGCCTCTTTTAGTACAAAAGACAGAGACAGAGAAATGTTTACCTTTGATAAAGCATTCGGAAAGAATTATCCTTACTGAAAGTCTGGCTGTCTGAATGCATGGCGATCCTTTCTGGTATCCATCCAGTCAGTGCATGAAGATCAATATTCTGCAACATAAACACAGGACCGTCAACGTGGTTTTCAAGCTCATAAATAAATCCCCGGGGTAGCTATTAAATCCCATTGATCTGATATGATGATTCTGATAGAAATAAATCAGAAGGTAGTAAGTTGTTCTCTACCAGTAATAAATCTCTTATTTAACTCAAATTCCTACCTGGATTTAAGCACAAGCCTCTCTTCTTACAATCTCTGCTGCTTTTCCTGAATTCAAAGAATTGTTTTACTGATAAATATGATGAAAACTCAAAACGTTTGACAGAAAAAACTGCTCTGATGATGATGATGACAGTCACTCACCATTTACTGAGTTTTTACAATATGACAGTCACCTTTCCTAACATTTTACATATATGCTCCTTCCTCCTCTCTTTAAGCTGACTGGGTAAATCAACAGGCAATGGATTAGAAAGCTAAACTAAAAATATTTGAAGGACAGAGCAACTGAACATGGAGGCCGGGAAGAAATTTTAACATCCTATTACCTTTAACTATGAACTATACATTCTTTGACTACCATTATAAGAACCAGAAGGATGAAGGAGGCTGGGTACTAGGCAAGGATACTAACTAGGTATGAATAATGGGTGATTTGCATATATTACTTCATTTAATCTTTACAGTTCTTGAGAGGTGAGTATTATCCTCACATCACAGACAAGCAAAGAGGCTAAGAAAGGGTAAATACCTTTCTAAGGCAACAGGCCGATTAGTGTTATAATTCAAAGTCATGCTAGTCTGAATAATTTCTGGCATAAGGCCAGTGGTTTACAACTAAAGGACACTGGCACATACCTTGATTTTACAGGTTAAGTTGTGTTAAGGTTGGGAAAAACTAACTCCAAACTCCTTGAACCTGAATTTACAGATCAAAAAAAATATACAAGGATGACAATATGACATATCCCTTTGATTTGCAGAGGCTTCTCTGGAAAGGTACGCTGTATTTAACTGGCCATATATCCCACCAGACACATACACTTTAGGCTTTCCTGAACACCCAATCTATACAATGTGCAAATAACCTTACAAAAGAAAATATGTACTCCCATGATAAGGTGACTGATCAACATTTTTCAGGGGTTGATAATGTTTTCACTTAAACCAAATATATCATCTATAATCTTTTGAACTTAAAATAGTCATATCAGATAGCAAAAGTCTGTGCCTGGATCATCTTATTACTTACTGAATTGGATCCTGGGAAATCATATCCTCCCATGACTTTCATGTATGCTTTTTCTATGAGAGAAACCCATAATTCACTTTTGTTGTTAGAGTAAGAACACAGCAATTCTCCCTTATGATCCACAGGTAACTGGTCATCAATTATCACCTGGAGAAAGGGAACATTAATTTCCTTAGGTGGTACAAAATATCTTAAAATCCTTTCTATCAAAAAACCTCCACACCTTTCATACTGATAAAATAAAAGGCATGCTATGCCTATTGTTAAGGTAATGATAGTTTCAAATTTCTAGAATCTGATCAATTATAAAATGTTTTGTGATGTCTTTCTTCAGGTTGACATCTCCCTGTCAGGTATTAACTTTGAGCCAACTGGTTGGTTAAATGTTATGGATCGACCAGCAAAATTGTTAGAAATTCTAGAAATGTATACTATATCTAAAATAATTACAGAAGGGCTTCTCACTATTAAGCTAAATAACAATATTAACCTAAACCTGCAGAAAGATTCATGCTGTGTTTAGTTGTAAAATATTATGGCTAAAAAATACATTTAAATAGTAGAGAAATATAGAAGTAATCACCACAAAGATACGGCTTCTAATTCACATTATAGAGTGATTTGGGAAACAAGAGGATAAGAAGAATTTTGATCTAATATTAACAGAAGAACTATGCAACTGTATTTTGAAAGATTCTTTAAACAAGAGGTTATCTAAGAATTATAGTTCAGAAAAACCACATCCTCAATAATTTTGTTTAGTTTTTAAGAAATCAGCTAGAACAGTGGTTCTGAAAGGGTATTCTCAGACAACAGTATCATCACCATCGCCTAGGAACCCGTCGGATATTCAAATTCTGGCCTCCTCCGCAGACCTACTGAATCAGACACTTTAGGGATGGGGCCCAGCAATCTTTTTTAACAAGCTCTCCAAGTGATCCTGTGCACAATACAGTTTGATTATCATTCAACTACAGAGCAACTTCTCAGTTTCTCACACGGGAATCACTAGGGGATCTTGTTTAAATGCATATTCTGATTCAGCAGGTCCAGGATGAGGCCTAAATTCTGCAATTCTAACGAATTCCCAGGTGATGCTAATGTTGATCCCTGGACTTCCGTGAGTCGACAGGAGCTAGAGAATCCGAACAACACAAGGCCCTTACAACATGGTTCGGAATCCTTAAAGAAATTAAAGATGTGAAATTTATTATTTTATTTATTTTCTAAATTTATTTTTGGCTCCATTGCTGCACGTGGGCTTTCTCTAGTTGCAGCGAGCGGGGGCTACTCTTGTTGCAGCGCACGGGCTTCTCATCGCTATGGCTCCTCTTGTTGTGGAGCACGGGCTCTAGGCGCGCGGGCTTCAGTGGTTGTGGCACACGGGCTCAGTAGGTGTGGCTCACAGGCTCTAAAGCACAGGCTCAGTAGTTGTGGCACAGGGGCCCAGCTGCTCCACAGCATGTGGGATCTTCCCGGACCAGGGATTGAACCTGTGTCCCCTGCACTGGCAGGCAAATTCTTAACCACTGCGCCATCAGGGAAGTCCCAAGATGTGCAATTAAAAACTATGTATATATTTCACAAAGGAAAACAATATTAAAGGTATCTTACATCTCAATTTATGACTATACACTTAAATTGTTCTGACCTAACAGACTTAGTATGTCTGATATCCTTTTAATCAAAAAGATAGTTAACAACCATCAGATTAAAATTCATTTTAAGCATTAGCAATCATTAGCTCAATGTCACTTCTGGGAACTTCCTATAAATTTTCCCAAACCCATTTTTTAAAAGACTTTATGCTTGTCATGATTTTTATTTTTAATTATTACTGATGATCTTATTGTAGAAATATGTATAATATCACAGAGTCAAAATCAACTAAACTGACTTTTAAAATGTTTATACAAATAACATTTCTTAATGATTCTACTCAAGAGCCAAAGGTGGGGAAGAGAGAAGGGGCTGATATGGGGAGAAACATTCACCTTTCTAGGGACACCATTGAGGTGAAGTTTTACCATATACTTTCCACATGGGTTGTACTCTGGCTCACCATCCTTATTCTGAGGGTAAATTATGCTTTAATAAGGAAAAGAAATAGTGAAATACCAACATTAATATTCAATATAAACTACTAGGCAGAATATTACATTTTATTTAAACATATGCTATTGTCTTAGAGATTTTATAAAAATAAACATAAGAATATTTGTCTATAATAGGCCTGTAATAGAAAAAGAATTTTACCCTAGTCAAAGTGCTTATTCAATATAAATAAATGAAGAAAATATCTTATGCAATCATACAACAGAGCATACATTTTATAATATTCTGAAAAATGCTCAGTATTTAATTATATACTATAATACATTTTCTATTAAGTGGATATATTTTAAGCCAGTTAAAGTAATCTACTTTTGCCCCCAAGACATAAAGAGAAGACCATTTCCATTAACCACAACTAAGGAAATTATAACTCTGACAGAGATAAAGTTAGCAGAACTCTGATTAAGTACACAAAATTATCTAGTAAGAAACCTGTAGAAACTATCAGTATCAATTTTTTTTCACAAACTGCACATTATTTACTGACATGGTCTGTTTATCCAATGGCAAACGGCTTGAAACTAAGGGCTGTATCTAATTCATCTTTGTACTTTCAGGACTTAACAAAAACCACTCGGGAAGAGTTGTACAAAAAAATTATAATGCTTAATTTTTACAATGAATAATATTAAGGTAGTAAAACTTTTAAAACTTGAAAGAAAAAGTATTTCCCAGTACCATTTCAGTACATTCTAAAGCAGTTCTAGCCAACAAAAATGTTATTTTATATTTCATACATTATATTTTAAAGTCTTATTTAACCCAATATATCAAAAACGTTATGATTTCAATAAATAATAAATATAAAAATTCGAGATATTTTCCAAGAGACATATTTTGGCACTAAGTTTTCAAAATCTGATCCATTTTACACTTATAGCCTATCTGAATTCAGACTAGCCCATCTCAAGTATGTAATATCCACATATGGCTTACGGCTACTATACAGTACAGTGCAGTTATAAATATGACATGATTTTAATGTGACCAATTTCATTTATTTCAAAACATATTTATTTCATTTATATTATTCTAACTATACGTGCATATGTTCTTAGACTGTCTTAGCAAATCTTTCCACACTCACAACCCATCTGCTTGACACACAAGGGCCATAATATTCTAAGTGATATGCCCTCCTCACTTTCTGTGCAGATAAAGCCCAAGCTTTTAATTTCTAGTTACGAGACAATCCTATGAAAAGGGCTAAAGGGACAAATATAAAATTTTACCTGGTAATCAACTTCTTATTAAATCGTCTTTCATAAGCTGCACTGATAGCCAGTGATGCCACAAACGAACAATCTGATACTATTGTCTGTTAATAAGAATTTATTAATACATTCATTTATTCATGCAACTTCAACATTACCACAATATATAAGCATTGCATCTAGAGCCTAACTTTTTACAGTAAATATCATGACTGTTGCTTGAACAGGAAAATAATAAATAGAAATGCCATAGCGCTAACTAACACGTGTTTTGTTCCAACAAATCCTAGGAAAGACAAAGTATTCCAATTAAGTTGATTTAGAATAATTAAATATGGATGAAGCATTCCTACACGGATAAAAAGCATACTCAACTGAATCACACTTTTTAATGACAAAAAATTATGGGCATTTTTAAAAAGTTGGTTTACTATAATATGACCAATTAAAATGAATATGCACATCAAAAGATTTGAATCATGGTATTTCAGGACCATTATTTTTATACTCATGTGGAAAACATCTGTGACTTCAATGCTCAAATGTCATTAATAAACTTTACAATAAAGTCACAGAGTTGTTCTACCACTGAAGTGTTTTAAATTAGCCCAATGCCTTTCTATCTCTCCTGTCCATTCTCTTATCAAAGGTGAAATTCAGACTCTCAACTTTCTCATCCACAAGCACATATCAATAAATAGGATGTATATAAAAATCTGTAATTGTTCAACAGTTATCAAATCTCAGTATGTCTAAGTCAAAGTATGCAGGGTGAACAATTTTTCCAATTATACTAATGCATCTAAATATATAATAAAAATCTAAGAAAAAAAGGCAAATGATATTCAATTATTTTAAAATGTTGGCTTTTCATATAAAATTATACAAAATAAAAGCTTACCTGCTTTATGCTGAAACTAGACACAGTGTAAATCATTGTAGGATTGTTGGTGAGATCTTCTGGTCGTACCCATTTAGAAAATGTAGCTTTTTGTTTAGGTGATAATGGTAGCTTGCCACATCTATCACTGAGGTGATAACAAAAATTAAATAATAATAATAACGATAAAATTAATCTTAAAAGATGACTCAAAAGCAAAATTAAATTTCCTAGAGAATTTTTTTTGGTATAGTGATCACAGCTGAACTATATAATCCGAAAAAACCCTCTGGTCAAATCTGGCTCTTTACACTTAACCTTGAATCCAATCTGATTATCCTCTTCAATTAAAAAAAATGTACATAGATAACTGAAAACAGAAGAGCAACCTAAACTCTTTTATATTTATTTTAAGAATATACTTTAAGAGTTTAATTTAGCATGGTTATATTCAAGAAATTCAGTTTCAGTAAAATGGAGCCATTAACAACAATATAATCTGATTCATTCAAAAGGACCGAAGAAGCTACAGATCTTTATGCTGGCTCTTGACAAACTCTTCTCTGCATGGCTAATAATGAGAGTATCTAATTACTGAGTAATAAACATGTGCCAGGCATCACACAAAAGTATTTTACATACATCATTCATTTAATCTTCAAAACAATTCTATTAAAGCAAATTTTCTAGAAAAAGCTTTAAGTGATTAAATAACTTGCAATGTCGAAGAGCTAAGAAGTAGAAGAAAGGGTATGTGAATCCAGGTCTCTGGTGCCAAATCCACCATCTTACCCATTACCCTCTACTCACACTGTGTAAGGAATATACTGTGTAATATTTCTGCAAAATTGACGTACAGCACAAAATTTTAAAAATCTACCTTTCTTCAAACTGCTTCTAGAGCAAGGGCAACAAATCTTTGGGTTTCAAAAGATTTCTAGGATAATGTAAGTTGTATGATATGCAAACTGAAAAAATATAACATTTTTTTAAAAAAAGGACTGTTGATAGACATTAGGAGAAAGAGAGTTTTGTGGTCAGATGGGATCTGAAAACTCCTCGTTAGAGTATTGGTTTTTCTCATTGGAAGGACATCTCTAAACCTTTAATAAGCCAATGTTTACTGGAACTCTCTTAGAGCAGAATATGGTATATAACACTTCTCAAACTTTTTTGATGATCATCTCATACATCTCATAGAGCCACTGGTGTTCTAGGCAACACTTTGGTACCTATGTACTATCAGGACCTGACTAAACAGACAGTGAGCTGGGTGAATTGAGAAGAATTTAAAGACCGCTATCATAAAACTTTTAGGAGAAAAAATAAGGCTGAGTCAAATCTAACCTGCCATATAAACCAGAATTCAGTAAATCCAAGACTCCTTAATATCTGTTTCTCTCAAGTCACCACTAAATCAACAAATTCAATGCTTATTTCTTAGAACTTTAAAAATATTTTATAAATATAATGTTTATTATAATACATGACCAGAAAAGAAAAAAATTTAGTCACCCAATCTTTCTAACCAAAGATAAATACACTGGGGAGCTTTTAGCCATCAGTCTGCTATCTCTGAATTTTAAAATGTTTACTGTTACTTTTTCTTCTGATTATTCTTACTGTAAAATAATCCAGAAAACAAGAAAGGAAAAATCTTGCCAGTCAGAGCATTTAATTTTACTTGATTTTTCTTAAAATTTAATTAACTCAGTAAGTATTCACTGAGCACCTGCCACATGCCAGACACTGTGCAGGCACACGTTCTCTGTCCTCATGCAGCTTATGGTCCCCTGTGGGGGACAAGCAACAGAGCAAGGGGTCACACACACAATGTAAAATCCCAATTCTGACAAGTGCCATGCCTAAACTAAGGGAGTTGGTACAGTTATATTTTTCTGTTTCCACTACATGGTAAACATTTTCCCACATTACTTAATTTCTTGAAAACTTGACTGTTCATGATTGTACAAAATTCTTCTTAGGGACATTCTGTTGTATGAGCACTAAAAATATGATTTATCTCAATCTGTTACACAAAGACTGGAACTACTTATAAACAGAAGTTTATATCTCTGCTTCGATATAACCATTTAAGAGCATTCTAGAATAACTGATTCACATTTTCATAATTATAAAAATATTGATGAATATCTTTTATATAAATCTTTGACTAGATCTGTAAATATTTTTTAGAATTGGTTTCTTGAATTGAAATCACTGGGCACAGGGGTATAAACATTTTTAAAGTATTTGAAATGTATAGCCAAATTATGTAATATAACTTAGTATTTAACAAAATAATTATGTTCTAATAGTTAATCCTTATTATATAGTGCTTGCTACAGAACAAGCACCATTGTAAGTGCTTTATATTTTATTAACTCATTTAACCATCACAGTAACACCATGAGGTGGATTCTATTATTACTTTAAAATCTGAGACAGATTAAAAAACTTGCAATGTCACACAGGATATGACACTGGAGAGCGTGGGTCTGGATTCTGTGCCCTTAACGTCAGTGCTATAAGCTTCTTAGATATAAACAATTCCTAGATCCAAATCAGTCACTAGCATCACATGGGTGCCTGAGGAAAACGTTATGCTGATAACTTACTGGCTTTGAGATGTTTAACTTCTGCCCATCCAAAAAGAGCAAAACACTTGAAATGAGAGAGCAGCTCCTTTGTTCTTTATAGTCTTTATATATTCTGTACACAATAAGCATTCAACTCTCTGATGCTTTCTGATAATAAATACAATATAACATGCTCACTGCAGAAATTTTGAAAAATAAATACGTTTTAAAAAGTATATCACCTAATTTTGCTGCTTAGAGATAACCACTGTAAACATTTTGATGTATAACTTAACATCATATTTTTCTATATATCTATAAACACAAGAAAAGAAAAATAAAATTTGAATGTTATATATAATTTTCTATCTTTTAAAATTCATATATCGCAAGCGTTTTCCTTATATTCTATGGACTTATTTTTTGTGGAGAGCATAATACGTAATATAATAATATGGACATGCCATTATTTAATCACTCCCATATCGCTGGATACCAACTTTGTTTCAATAATTTTCTGCTGTAACAGACACTTTGGTAAATGCTCTTATTATATACATCTTTGACCGAATTATAGTTTCCTTGGGAAGGCTAGAAGCTGGGAGTCCTGAAACAAACAATGGTTTTAAGTTCTTGACATAAGCTGCCACTGTCCTGGCAGGCTGTGCCAACACTTTCATAATGAACCCTTTTCTTGAACTGGATCTTCTTAGTAAACAACAACCCTGTCATTCTATTCCACTTTTCCATTCAACATCTCTGCTGACTTGCCTTTCTGCTGTGATCCAACGCCAACTGGGCAAATATTTACCCACTACTTTTACCTTGTGCCAGGTACTGCGTCAGACACTATGAGTATAACCTTAGGCAAAAGGAGGCGCGCACGTCCCGTCACCAGGGAAGGGTCGGAGGCACTCTCGCGATGCTGCCACACCTCCTTCCCACAGCCACACCTCTTTCCCAATCGAATTTTTTTATTATGCATTTTAATTTCAAGGCTATGGATTTAACTGGATTCCAGAGGATGGGAAAAGTACTGAAAAATCAAAATAATTTTGAAAGTAAACGTTGCAGTAGTGTTTACTTACCAGAAAGGCATTGGGTAAGCAAAACGTTCCCTGAGATCAATGTTCATGAAAGGAACATATTCCATACCATTTATTTTTGACGTTGTCCTATAAAATACAAGAAAAAAATCTAAAGTAGATGTTCAAGTCTACCTTGATTACCAATTTTATTTAAACTTCTTAAAATTCAAATGACAAGGTATGGTACTGTAATAAAATTAAACTCACCACCTCATATAATGTTGATAACTTTATTTGAACAAAATTTTCACGAAACAGTTGAATACCACAAAATAACTAATCCAATTCAATTCAATCAGTTACTCTTTTAAGACTAACATCCTTTACAACAAAACAACTATCTCAAGATAGGGCTACACTAGAGGTACTGAAAGTGTCACCAGGACACAATGCAAATTGTTTCCTAAGCCCAAAGAGAGAAAGCAATTGCTTAGTTATTTGGGGATTTAAAAAACATAACATTTACAATTCTGGGAAATATGTTCTTTATATTTTCTGGTTATGAGACTAAGGAATGGGTAGTGAAGAAGGTAGTGGCACAGATAACAGTTACAGCCTCTTGACAAATTTAAGAAATGTGACTTGTAGTAGTTTTGCATGTTCTCTTCCTGTTTTGTTTATATGTTTACTTGCATATATTAGCTATTTCCTTCTGTTTCTTTCCCTCCTTTCATTTAGAAGGAATTGCAGGGTAACTTCACCATTTAGTCTCTAGGTAACAATATACAATGAGACAATGACTGAACTGGAGGACTAATTAATGCAGCGTGTGATGAACATAACATCTGTGTATCCTCATCTTGAGATGGTGAGAGCTTTTCACTTGTATGAAGGACAGCTGCATCTTGTTAGGTAGAAACACAGAGCTGTTCTGTAGTAGTGCAGAATTTCAAACGTGTGCAGAAGGGAGCATGTGGGTGCTGAGTAGCCAAAGTGTTGGACTGTTACTAACTTGTCTCTCAGGTCCAAAACCACTCTTTTTGTCCTCCTTTGTGTTGTGCTGGTTTGTATGCATTTTTTCTAGGCAAAGAGACCCAGATTAGTAGGAGTAGAATTAAAATCTTTAGCAGGAAGAGAGAAAAATGCCCCCAGGTGGCTGCTAAAGAGGAAGGAGCCCTTCTAGTGCAACTTCAGCAAACTAGAAAGAGCAACATCATGATGCGTGCAGCTCTAAGCAGGCTGATCTCCTTCAAAGCCCAACTGAAGAGCAGCTGTGCTGGCTCAGAAAGCGATCAAGGATTTCCATAGCCTGTTCTTTTGTATTTTTAATATCCCCTGAGGCTGCTTCCAGACACTGAGCGGGCTTCCCAGCCCAGGTGTAGGCAAACTTTCTCTGTAAAGGGTCAGACAGTATCTAGTTTTGGCTTTGCAGTGAGGTCTCTGTCACATATTCTGGGGTTTTTTGTTTTCTTTTTTGCAACCCTTTAAAGAAATGTAAAAAAACCATTCATAGCTTAAGGCTACCCTTTGCTGACTCTGGCTTAGACTGCTATTTCAAGGTAACAATTAGGGCTCTGGTCAAGGTGGAAGAGATGATGAATGGTCTGTCATAGCTCTACTTTGCCCCATAACCTTTATTATTCAATTCTGAAGAATGCTAAGGTTTTCAGAAAAAAATACATCTAGCGGAAACGAGAATACTAAAATATATTAGAAGAAATTTTAACCATTTCAAGTTGTGACTATGTGACAACATAATTTATAATTACATAATAACAGCGTGACACATTATACCAAAGATGTGACGACTCAGCAAACCTAATGAGAGTAACATTACCTGCATTGATTACGTTAACAAAACTGTTCATTACAACCAATCATAAACTGATTTACCTGAGAACTTCTATTTCTTCTGCTGTGTATCTCTGTCCTTGTGCATCACATGACTGTGGACTTATAAATGGCTGAGGTCTTTCAAGGAAGGGGTTAGTCCCTAGTGGAAAATGTGCTCTCACTGGAGGTGGCTTTGGTTTAATATTCGTTGCCTTGATTTTGCATGATGGCTTTGTTAAAGGCTCACTCAATGCTTCTGCTCTACAATAGAGAGAGGTACAGAAAAACCGTTCTAGTTTTTCTTCTCACATTTAAGCTTTCCAGAACATAAAATTTACTTCAAGAACCAGTCAAGCATCCCTAATGTAAAATTAGTATATAAAATTCCTACATACTAGTCAACAGTTCACTACTTAAGCTACTCCCAAAGGTAAGTATTTTTGCAAACAACATTTTATTGACATTAATTGAGCACTTATTGCATGTCAGATCCTATGCAAAGTAAGGGGGATACAATAATGTACGAAACACAAACCCTACTCTCAAGGTGCTCCTAGTGTTGTGCGGAGACAATTGCATCAAAAGTGAGATGCGAGGCTGGAAGTACTCTATGCAAGTGAATGCACAGTAGAAATTACTGACTTGATGGGAAGCGGGTGAGTCAGGGAACATTTTTCCAAATTGACATTTGAGCTGCAGAAGAATCCACCTGGGGAGCAAGGAAGGGTTCTAAGCAGAGAGACCAGCATGAGCAAACGTGTAACAAGCTAAGGTAATTTCAAAAGAATGGACGGGGCCCTTGTGAACAGTACAAATGAGAGGCAGCAGGAGATGAGACCAGTGGCAGGGACTGGATCACGGAAGGTCTCACATGGTATTTAAGGGAATTTTGACTTTATTCTGTCAAAGAAGTAACAATCTAAAAAAACAGAAGTTCTTAATCTAAGGTCCTTATATGAGATTTAGGAGTCTTGTTAACACTCTGAAATTCTATGCAAATAAAATGTTACGTTATCTTTTCTGTACAGCGTGTCCATTCTTTAGAAGAGATCCTAAAAGGAGCCCATGACTGACCCATGCCCCTGCGCTGAGGATGCACTCAGAGAGTACTAGATGGGTTACCCACATAGGTAATAAAAGCCATCTATGATTCTGACTGGGGAAAGAAGTAAAAATGGAGAAGATAGCTACGTGTCGAGTGCCCATAACTTCATGAATTTGGAGAAACAAACTAAATGCTAGCTGATGGTAATGAAAAGGAGGGATAACCGCTATACCTCAATAAAAAAGAAGGGCTGGGGGTAGCACAGCTACCTAGTCTGAGCCTCAAAAGGAGATATTTTAGTAATTCGTGCTATAACTATAAATGCCATTCCACCCTTTTCCTTTGCCTATAATGCTTTGTCTATACAAGAGGTACAATTCTCTTGTGCAAATACATTCATTATTTCTCAACAAATATCTACTGAGCACATATTGTATGTCTGCCCTCTGCTAGGTGCTTAGTTTCAGCATTGAACAAAGACAAAATTCTCTGTCCTCAAAGAGCTTATATTTGGAGGACAGGGGTTAGAAGGGACACAGACATTGATAACAAATATGATAAACTGGGAAATTTCATATACCTTAGAAAACAGTAAGAGTTACAGGAAAGAATATTAGACGAAGCAGGATCAAAGTACTGGAGGAGATTAAATTTTAAACAGAGTGGTGATGGCAGGCCTTATTGAAAAGTTGACATTTGAGCAAAGAGTTAATGGAGCTACACACATGTATAATTTGAGGTATCTGCATGGCTGGCTCACTCTCAGTTTCTCCATTTCTAGTAGTAGCTCTGGAAGGGCTCTCTGGAAGTTCTCTCTTTGGAAGTCTGATATTAAACAACAGAAGGGAGTCTACCATTTCAAATACCATAATCATTTTTGTTTTAGACACAGCAAAAACTAAGTAAAATATTTCTTGACTGATTTGTTATTTTTTGAGTTTAAAGCACGGATGAAGACACAGAGATGAATAAGATGCTCTCTGTTCCCCTAAGGAGCTCACCATCTAATGAGCCACAATGACATGTAGAAAAAAGCAGCAGGAACTAGAGAGGGGTAAATTCACTCAGAGGAAGAAGGCAACTTTGCTCTGGATCTCAGGTTTGCTACCACGAGCTCCACCACACATTCAGGTAAACGACTGAAGTAACACAGTATGCTGCCATCCACAGATAAGAACTCTAGGGACCAAAACTCACCTGTCTAGTGCCTGTCGTGCCAACTGCTTCAGTTTGTTTTGCAGAGTTTTATCAGCGGTTTCATAAGACTTAAGAGAAAGAGAGACAGATGTTCCAAAGCATAATTATTAATTTGCCTGATCCATGATATTTCTAAGCAAAAATAAAAAATTACAATGCACATTACACTTCTTAAAATTATGAGAGAATAAACCAAGACACTTTATTTTTGTCCTTAAAGGTATCATTTAAATTGTGTTGAAAACTCGTCACCACTCAACCTAACACCACTTAATTCGGACAGGGAGTAAGTGGAACACAACCCTATAATCACAGTGCCACAGAAGGCCTGGCAGCAGGAACCCCAGAAGAGCAGGGCTACTGTACTAAGTGAAATAAGTCAGCAGGAGAAAGACAACCACCTTATGCCTTCATTCATATGTGGAGTCTAAAAGACAAAACAAATAAAACAAAATAAAATAAACTTATAGGTACAGAGAACAGATTAGTGGTTTCCAGAGGGGAAGGGGGTTGGGGGACGGGTGAAATGGGTGAAGGGGGTCAACTGTATGGGGATGGAAGGTAACCAGACTTGCGGTGGTGACCACTTTGCTGTGCGTACAGGTGTCGAATTATAATGCTATACTGTGCACTGAAACTTACGTAATTAAAAAAACCCAGCACTTACCCGTAGTCTCAGGTGCCTACAGAAATGAGGCTAGATAGTTCCTCTGAATAAAAGACCTTGGACAAAGAGCCGGCCCTCTGAGCAGTGCTGAGAACATCACTCTCTACCACATCACATCCCCTGTGAATGCGCTACTCTTACGCACTAGATGCCCCGGAGAGCTAACAGGCCCACCGGGCTCCTCGGGAAGCAGTAAAAACCGCTCGACATAGAGACTCTACACTGCAAATTCATAAAGCTCTCCCAAACCACTAACTTATTTCTTAGTGTATGAAATTGAAAAAAAGGGGGAAGTTTTATTTTTTTTGTGATGAACCAAAGTCGTTTTTTCCCTTTTTTTTTTTTTAAATTGAAGTATGTACAATGTTGTGTTAGTTTCAGGTATACAGAAAAGTGATTCAGTTATACATATATATCTATTCTTTTTCAGATTCCTTCCCATTATAGGATATTACAAGATATTGGGTATAGTTCCCTGTGCTATACAGTACATCTTTGTTGTTTATCTATTTTAAATACAGTAGTGTGTATCTATTAATCCCAAACTCCTAATTTATCCCTCCCCCAGGAAGTTTATTTTAAATTCACAGATTGTGATGGTGAATTCTTCCTATAATAAGTTAATTTTAGTTATAGGGGTATAAAAAGGTCAAAAATGGTACCTATAATTTAAAAAACAATTGCCAAGGGACTCAACCTCAATACTGTCAAATTTTTAACAAGATGTTAAAGTCCATTATTAATTTTCTATTCTTCACTATCTTTTAATGAGGAATAACTTAGTTACATGTATAATAACAGGATAATTTTTTCTTTCTTTAAGGAATTGTTAAGTAAAACTCACTAGTAAGGGGAGAAATTTCTTAGCATAATTCCACCAAACTTAACTTGTAGCTATTATACATACGGTTTTCAGACAGAGATCTACAGCTTCTGTATACAGTTCTATAGCATCTTCAACATTCCCTTTTTCATCTTCATCAAAAGCTTGTGTAACGAGGAAATGGGCACGCTCTAAGTCCAACTGATGTTTTGATTTCAAAGGATCCGCACTCTTTGACTGAACTAGGATAGGAAAAAAAGCCACACAGAAGAACTAGCATAGGAAGAAAGCCACATACCTATATATGTATCCCGGGAACAACATACCATTTTAATTCATTCTTTACCAAAACTCTATAATCCTTCATTTAAAAAGCTTAGCAAGGTAAAAAAAAAAATCCTTAAAAAAATTTCCCCTGAATTTCTTTCTGTCCCTACCAGCACTTTCTTCATTTAAAAAATAAAACATAGGAGTTCTCCACATAAAAAACAAAACTGAAACTTGGAAAAGACTAAATCGAAAGAAACTCAATTATGTTTTAAGGTAATTTAAATTTTTATTCAGTATAGACAATAATTATGTAATATACTAGGCCTTGATGATAAAATGCATGCTGTTTCCTATTCATCTGGGTCCAGAATAAGCTATATTTTTACTGCTCTTTGAAATAAGTGCTTCTGTTTGTTTTTAATATAAAGATACGTATCCATAAGAGACCTGCATCTAGAATATATAAAGATCTCTTACAACTCAACAATAAAAGGACAAACCCAATTTAAAATGGGTGTGATGATGATGTCATCAACTTGTGTCAACTTGACTGGATCACAGGTTACCCAGCTATTTGGCTAAACAAGATTTCTGGGTAGCCTGTGAGGATGTTTCCGAATGAAAGTAGCATTTGCATTGACACTGAAAGCAGACTGCCCTCCCCAGTGTGGGTGGGCATCATCTAATCCACTGTGGGCATGAACAGAACAAAAGGCAGAGGGGGAGAATCTGCCCTCACTGCAGAACTGCTTGAGCTGACACACTGGTCTTCTCCTGACCTTGGACTGGAACTCACACCATCAGGTCCCCTGCTTCTCAGGCCTTTGGACTTGGACTGAACCACACCACTGGCTTTCTTGAGTCTCTAGCTTGCAGAGGGCAAATAGTGGGACTTCTTAGTCTCCATAATTGCATGAGCCAATTCCTCATAATAAGTCTCTTTATGTACATCCTACTGGTTCTATTTCTCTGGAGAACCCTGACTTATACCATGGGCAAAGGATCCGTATAGCCATTTCTCCAAAGCAGATATTCAATGGCCAAATGGCACATGAAAAGATGCTCAACATCATTTGACATCAGGGAAGTGCATATCAAAACCACAATAAGATGCCATTTTATACCCACCAGGATGGCTAAAATAAAAAAAAGACAGAAAATAACAAGTGTTGATAAGGATGTGAAGGAAATGGAACATTGCTGGTGGAATTGTAAAGTGGTATAGCCACTGTGGAAAACAGTTTAGCAGTTCCTCAAAAAGTCAGACATAAAGCTACCATATGACATAGCAGTTCTACTTGTGGGCATATATCCAAGAGAACTGAAAACATATGTCCACACAAAAACTTAGACACAAGTGGTCATGACAGCATTACTAATAATAGACAAAAGGTGGAACCAAGCCAATACCCACCAACTGATGAATGGATAAATAAAATGTGGTATACTAATACAATGGTGTATTAACCATAAAAAGAAATGAAGCACTGATACATGCTACAAAATGGATAAACCCTGAAAACATTATGCTAAATAAAAGAAGCCAGACACAAAAGACCGCATACTGATGACTCCATTTACATGAAATGTCTAGAATAGGCAAATCCATGGAGACAGAAAATAGATTAGTGGTTGCTAGGGCCTAGGGTGTGGAATGGGGAGTGACTACTAATGGCTAAGAGGTTTCTTTAAGGGTGACAAAAATGTTCTGAAGTTAGATAGTGGTGATGGTTGCACGACTCTGGGAATACACTAAAAACCACTGAACTGTACACTGTAAAAAGTTGAATGTTATGGTATGTGAATTACATCTCAATAAAACGTTTTTTAAAAAAAAGTTTTAAATTTTGTTTGTCTCAAAATTGTGTCTGATCTTTTAAAAACTGTAACCCTCGGTAACACCTCTCTAAAGTATTTATTAATCCCATTTATTAAATGAATGTTAAAATATTTAGCTCAACGCTTCTTCAGCCTTGGCACTACTGACATTTTCGGCTGGATAATTCTTTGCTGTGGACGGTGCTATGCATTATAGGATTTTCCCTGCTGCACTGTCCCTGCCATCTACCCAACCAGATGCTGGTAGTATACTGCATCCCTACCCCGGCATAAACACCAAACATCTCTCCAGACATTGCCAAATGTCTCCTGCGGGGCAAAACCGATTCTAATTGAGAATAACTATTGAGCCTAAGGTTTCACAGCTACAATGGAAGGGTAGGGACTCAGCTTAGATCCTTGAATTCCAAGTCTTGAGTTTCTTATACTACACTGGTGAATTTCAAACTGGGTTACCTTTCCCCAACCCTAAAGTCAAGCCATCTCTCAAAGTCTCTTGACTGTCAGAAGACTTTATCTGTTTTAAAAATTGGGATTCTGAACAAGATTTTTATTTGATAAAGGACTCTCCTGTTTGAAATAATCATTAAGTAAACCATTTAATTCTCTACAGATTACATGCCATTTATTGAGCAAAATAGGTCAAAAAACCGGCAAAACATTTAATGTATATTATGCTTTAAAAATCCTTTTTGAACTTTACTTCTGTTTCACTGCCAAGTTTTCATTCTTCAAGAGACTAGGGCTGTCTCATTCTGTGCCTGAGTATCATATAAACATCACATTTATAAATTTAAAAACTTCATCTACTTAGCTGGGAAAATGAAGTGCCTCTGAATTCCATGGTATTTTGAATACATGAATCAGTATAACTTTGTATTAAATGAGGCCCTGACACACAGGCTGTCCACTTTTCAATGCATGCAATTTCTGGGCACTGTCTTAAAGGAAAGTGCCATGTCTGTAAGGGGACTGTCATAATAAGAAATCCAACAATCAAATCTACTTTATCCTAACTATGAGCTTGTAACTGCTCTTATCTATTCAGAATGAGTGGTAGAAAGTAGCACAAAGTCCATCAGAGAATGCTGAATAAGACTCCTCTAAGCTTGTGGCTTTATTACACAGCCACAGAAAAAAAGGGGTTAAAAAGAGTCCTCAGTGACATGAATGCATTCCTAAAACAAAATGTCAATAGATGATCATTTTCTTTCCTACCACGTGAACACCAGATTTCGCCAGGAACCACTTACCTCTAACAGAGCTGCGATCATTAAGCCTGTGAACTTGTTTCACAGCGTTTGCAAAAATAACTACAGGTTGTTCCAGGTCTCTGCTTACATGTCCCTTTTCCAGGATATGGTTTAAAACAAGAGTTTAGCTAAGGTCTTGAGGTTGAGGATATCGATATAGTAAAGACTGTGAACCCACTGTTGAAGTCTTCAGACACTGAAGAGGAGGAGTCATTTAATTTTAATAGCAGGAGAGGGCACGTGACAGATGTTTAAAAGCAGATTTTAACAGGGTCCTAATACTGACTCTGCCAATGATACACTGTTTGAATGTAGATAGTTCATCTCTATCCTCTGGGAAATTAGGATATCAGACTATATCACCTCTAAGGTCCCTCTTCACAGATTTATCACATATTTCCACATTATGATTTTCAAAGATGTGATTACCAAAAAAGAAATGAGCAGCAACCAAGTGAGGATCAAGAATCAAAGATGAAAATGAAAAGGAAAGAGAAACACAGGGGAAAAGTAAGATGTGATGCGACAAAAGAAAAAAAAAATACAGTGACATGGTTAGTAGTCCTTTACCAACCTGCTGAATGTAAAGCCTGCACTCTTTCCAGATACTCATTTATTTTTTCTTGAATATGTTCTAGGCTTGATCCTGCCATCTCAGCATAAATTAAAGCTTGTGCAGCTTCCTAAAAATAAAAAAAAGAATTCAAAGGAATCTAACAGATCAATTACAATCTGAATTTTCTTTACCACTTTCTAACTATTGGTTTCTATGAATGACAAAACAAGAAAGTCTTTGATACCAGTAATTTTTTTTGTAAAGTAAATGAGATATATTCCTTTACTACTTTTTTTCAGTTCTCAATGCTCTCTTTCTCCTACTGTTGAAAATTTATGAAGTCAAATAGAAGGGGTTGATTATAAGTATTTTCTTAGAATAACTGTGATTTATATGTTCCTGTTTTCCTTTTTCTTTTTGCAATAGGTCAGACTTGAAATTATGTACTGTGAAAAGGTGAATTGAGTCTCGAAAGCATTAGAACAGATAGTACCCGATACAATTAAATTAAATATCAATAAAAGATTATAAGAAATTATAAAGGTTAAATATCTCACAGTGGAAAGAAAATCTTTTTCTCCACAGAAAATATTGTCAAAGGGGGACACATTTTAAGGCAGATTTCAGTTGTATGAAATAAACTTATTTTAATTAAGAAAACCTGGATTTGTCTTCCAGTTATTCCATGACTTCCTCAGCCAGTTAGGCTGTGCTGGCGAGGAAAAGCCTCCATTCTCGCCATCACCATTCCAGGAGGGTGACCAATGCTACCACACACAAGAACCACAGAGAGACTTTCCCAAGTACCACGACCTTCACTGCAGTAATCTAAGCGTGTGCACTTCAAGGAACCTCACGCCTTGTTATCTGGATCCAAAGAAGCCATCTACTGAGCATCACTTTTTTTTTTTTTTTTTTGCGGTACGTGGGCCTCTCACTGCTGTGGCCTCTCCCGCCGCGGACCACAGGCTCCGGATGCGCAGGCTCAGCGGCCATGGCTTGCGGGCCCAGCCGCTCCGCGGCATGTGGGATCTTCCCGGAATGGGGCACGAACCCGTGTCCCCTGCATTGGCAGGCGGACTCTCAACCACTGCGCCACCAGGGAAGCCCTGAGCATCACTTTTTGAATCCAGTTATTGGAGCAGGACTTGTTTCCCTGAACCTACAAAATCAGTAAGAAGAGTACAGGTTTGATCCAAATGGAAATTGGGGGTAGAAAACATATGTTTTCCTCAGTTTCTGCAATTCAGATATTTCAGGGGAGGAAAATATAATTGTACATGTAAATATTAAAACTAATTTTTTAAATTGTTGGTATCAACTTTATTTTGCTCATTTTGCTTACACTTGAAAGTGATCAACAATTAAGGAATCCCTAGTAGAACAGCATGAAGGCAGAAAACACTAAATATCTGATACAGTTTACATAAATAGCTCCTAGAAACACAACCACTTTTCTGATTCTCTCAAGGAAAAGAAATTCTTCATAACAACATGCATGTAATCCTACAGCAAAACAAGAGGCACTGTACAGTACTTCCTTTCGCTTTAAAAAAGCTATTTTGTATGGCACTATTTTCACCTATGAACATTTGTCAGTTATTTCACAAAACTAATAAAACACAGTTTTACTTTTAAAGAAATACCATCGTCATGAAATTGTCAAAAAAAAAATGTCCAAAAAGAATGATTCTGAAACACACCCAAAGTCTCTAAATATAGATTATAAAATGAAGGCAATCAAATATTAATCTGAGAAAAGCAAACCACACATTACTGACAGCATATAGGTTTATGGAAAAAAATTACGACTACTGTATTATGAAATTCTTTCTAAAAGAAAAGATGACAATGTCAAGAGGATACAGCTATCTGCACGGGGAGCCGGAGGGGTGTGTTTGCAAATGCTCAGGATTGGGGAGCAGGCGGTGGTGGACTGTGAGCTCCTACTCTGATTTAATATTTCTGGCCCCAGTAATTTACCCAAAAGCAATACCAAAGAAACGTGTAAAGCATTAGCTATAAGGGTATTATGATGCTGAAGATCCATAATGAACATAAAATGGCCAGAAGAGTTTGTAAATAAACTATGGCACACCCACATAATGGAATACTATACATCTATCATTAACAAGTTTATACTATGAAACTTTAAAAAAATTCAAAAATTTTTAAAAGTTCAAATGCAAAGAACAGATTTTAAAAAGTATAAACAGTCTGATCCAAGTTTGTTTTTTTAAAAAAGGTGTGCACACACACATGCGTAGAAAACCAAAGATACGTAGATGTCAAATACCAGGATACGCGATGTTTTATTTTTGATTGACTTTCTGCGTTCTTCCGTGAGCACTGTTTCCGTGTACATCCGTGACGGTGAGAAGCTGCGAGCTGAAAGTCCAGCTCCGCCGCCGCCCTCAGGAGCGGTCAGCTGGGGACTCGCCGGCCAGGACCGACCCCAAAGCGGCGACCAAGCCCGCCGCTGGCCGGACCCTGGGGCGGGGGCAGGCCTGACCCCTCAGCCCGGCCACCGCCGCGAGAGGGACAGCGGAACAGGGGACCGCCACGCCGAGCGCGCCCGTCCCCTCGGCACCTGGACCCGCCCCCGGCCCACCTTGTAGTAAAACACGGCCTCCGAGTAGCGGCCCTCGTGGTCGCGCTGCACCGCCAGCCGCGCGAACTGCACCGCGTCCCGCTCCAGCGCCGCCGAGTCCATGGCTGCCACGCGCCGAGGACCCCCGCCGACCGCCGCGCGCCCGAGCGTCGGGCGAGGACCCTGGCCGCACGGAAGGAGCGGCGGAGCTCACTTCCGGCGGCTGAGAGACTACCGCGACCGACCCTTCGGCAAAACTCCGACTCCTTGCCCGCTGGCAGCCTTGCTCCGCGGCCGCCGCATTCGCCGTCCCGCCCACCGGCCACACTGCGCAGGCGCAGCCGGGCCGGCGCAGGTGTTTTGGTAGCCTGGGTTGCCGGGCTCGCCGGAGGGTGCGGGAAGGCGCGGGCGGTGGGCAGGGCCCGGCCTGCGCGGTGCCGTGTGCACGTGACTGCCGGGGCGCCCGGGATTGGGCAAGCAAAAGAGGTGCCACGTCTGAGCGGCTGCCGGCTTCGCACTCCGCCTGTCCGGGCAGTGACTGTGGAGCCTGTTGCCGGCCAGGCTGGGAGGAGGGGCGCATGCGCCTCCCGGAACATTTTTCCCCTGAGTGTAAAGAGAAGGTGAGCAGTGCTTCTTCCCAACATCATCTGAGATGACTTTTTTTTTTAATTAGGGGAGTGAAGTAAGGATATACGATTCTTAGATACTTTTTAATGATATTTATATCCACAAGCTGAGTCTTAATTAACCCTGTATACATGCCCCAGTGTATGGTATTGGTTGAATTGCCAACAAACAAGGTAATGCATTTTCCCGTGTACTTCTCCTTAGGTTAACTTAATGCTGTTGTAATTAAATACTCAATTAGGTGATTATTTGATTAGTGTCTCTCTCCCCTAAAACTCCGAATTCAGAAATAATAAAAATAAACTAGTGAGAGGCTCTACAATACGGATAAAACTCAAAATTCACGCTAAGTCAAAGAAGCAAGACACAAGAATACAGACTGAGCGACTTTGTTTACAAGGAACACTAGCAAAGAGGAATCTAATCAATAACGTAAGAAGTTGTTAGGGAGCCATCGACTAAAACTGCCTGCCTTGGCGGGGAACCGTAACACCTTTGCTTCAGTCTCCCACCTCGGGATGCTTCAAAAGAACACAAAACCAGTGAAGGGCCCACAACCAACCCCAGGGAAAATCCAGGAAGGGCCAAGAAACGGAGGAGACACCAGTCCATAAGATGCCTTGCCAATCTCCCCAGAAATCCTTGTGCTGGAAACCATCTTGACTGAAGGATGCACCAGGAAGGGCCCTGAGTTGGACCAAATGAAGGCAAAAGCAAGATGATTGGCCAGAGACAACCGCAACCCAGAAAGCTAACTGCACCACCATAAAGCCTGAGACTGCGAGCCATGAGGCAGAGCAGTTCTCCTGGATTCCCCTACCCTGCTTCTGTCCGCCTGAGGGACCCTTTCCAATAAAGTCTTTCGCTTTGTCAGTGCTGTGTCTCCTCGGGCAATTCATTTCCGAGTGTTGGACAAGAGCCCACTCTCTCGCCCTCAAAGAGATCCCATCCAGTGACAAAATCACATCAATGGTTGGGAAGGGATAAGGGAACCTTTGGAGGTGATGGAAATGTTTTGTATCTTGTTGGTGGGTGATGTCAAAATGTACATCCATTTGTTAAAACCTATTACACTGTACATTTAAAATATGTGCTGCTACCCTATTTACAATAGCCAAGACGTGGAAACAACCTAAATGTCCATCGATAGATGAATGGTTAAAGAAGAGGTGGTACATATATACAACGGAATAATACTCAGCCATAAAAAAGAATGAAGTAATGCCATTTGCAGCAACATGGATGGATCTAGAGATTATCATATTAAGTGAAGTCAGAAAGAGAAAGACATATACCATATATCACTTATATGTGAAATCTAAAACACAACACAAATGAAGATATGCACGAAACAGAAACAGACTCACAGACATAGAGAACAAACTTGTGGTTGCCAAGGGTGAGGGTGGTGGGGGAGGGAAGGATTGGGAGTTTGGGATTAGTAGATGCAAACTATTATATATAGGATGGGTAAGCAACAAGATCCTACTGTATATACAAACCATATGGAAAAGAATATGAAAAAGAATATATGTATATATAACTGAATCACTTTGCTGTACAGCAAAAAAAGATAAATGCATGCTTCTAATTTTTCTTAATTACACCTCAATAAAATTGTTTTAGTCAGTTGGCCTGCATTTAAGTGGGACTCATTTCTTAATTAATTTAACCGTTTCTTCATATTTTGTGAAGTTAATAGTAATAACTATCTCATTGGACTGTTGTAAAGAGCATAGGTGGAGAATTTGACTCTGCCTGGCACAAAGATGGTTCCCATCATTAGCTACAACAGTTTTATAACTGAAGCAGGGATGGTTTCTGTCTTCACCAGTTTTACCCCAGAATTAAGCCCAAGCTTTGGCCCAGAGCAGGTGTTGGATAAATGTTTCAAAATGTTGAGTGAGTGAACTCCCCAACTAAATATACTCAATGTGCCCTCCCCCATCTTTATTCTGAAGAATGAAATAGAAATTCCTTAACACAGAGTGGAAGGTCCTTCAGAACAGGAGCTCAGGGTGTGTTCCCAAGGTATCTGCAGCCACTGTCTGGCAGGAACTGATCCCCAAGTTACAGCAGATGAATGCAGTTTTACCCGCTCATAAGAGGACTTCTGTGTCTAATGTTCCCCTCTCATCTCAGCTTATAGAATTCCTAGCCCACCTTGAAGGGGGCTTTTCTAACTCTCCCAGGCAGTTGTGACCCCTCCTGTTACCTGCTCATTTATTCCTTTATTCCTTGTTCACTTATTCATTGAACACTGGATGCCTGCTTGGTGCCAGGCACAGAGTGACACATTGAAGATACAAAGACAAATGAGAGAGAGTGAGATAAAGCTGGGTAAAAGCAAGTCGAAGCTTCAAAGTATCTGCAGTCTTTAACAACATTGAGACTTCCAATCCATGAACATGGTAAACCTCTCCACGTATTCAGGCCTTCTCTCATTGCTCTCGGCAATGTTCTGTAGGGCACAGGTCTTATACATCCATCTTTTGACAGATTTATCTCCAAGCATTTCATATTTCTGATGCTATTTTAAATGGCGTTGTTTATCTAGTTTCAATTTCCAATTGTTTTTGCTAGTATATAGGAATAGAGTTGATATTTATATATTGACATTATATTCTGCAATCATGGATTATCCAGAAAACCCTGGAGTTAGGTGGTGGAGCCTCATGACAGCTGCCTCTGGGGAATGTATGCCAGTATGTCCAGTAGCACTGCCACATGCTCTGCCAGGTCTGTGATACTTACCAGGGCAGAATTTGCCCAACGTTAAGCACTCAGGGGTGCTTGGTCAAAATGCCTTCATCCTGAAGTATGGGGGCCCCCACCCTCCAGAGAGCTGGGAGAGACCTAGAGAGAGGGGTGAGTTCAAGAAGACTGGCCACACCTCTGTTCAGGAAGCCCATGCTGTTGTTGTTGAATCTGTGGCTCCCTTCTTACACACGACTTCACAGGAGGAAGCAGCAAAGCATCCTTGTGAAATCCAGCCTTGCAGAGGCTAATGGAAATAGCACCATCTGAGCCACTGTAAGTAGAAAACAGAGTTGTGGTAGTAGTAATAGTAATAGTAGCAATAGTGTAATGATAATAGTAGTAGTAGTAGTATTACTCTTTTTTAAAGCTGCTAACCCAGTAATGGTAATTTATTACTTCAGTCAACAAATAGTAATTCTGTTGACCAGACAGTGGGGATCAAAACAAAATGACCAAAACAGCTCACCCTGTAGTGAGTAAGACATGCATAAGCCAACAGTTCAAACAGCCTTTAATAATTGCTGAGAGAGGGTAAGTCAGGGGCTGGGAGGGCCAGAGGAGCAGCAACCAAATCAGCCCAGTGGACGCTCACACCACGTCCCAGAGGAAGGGATGCTTGAATTTGTCAACCGAAAACTTAATGCAGCAAGCTGTGAATAAGAAGAGTTTATCTGGGGTCTTGTTTAGTGTAGCCACCTTCATGAATGTCTTAGCTGGATCCTCTAGATAACTTGCTACAGCTTCTATATCAGCACTTGCTGCTTCACTTTGCACTTTCATGTTATGGAGATGGCTTGTTGCCTTAAACCTCATGAACAAACCTCTGCTAAGCTTCAACCTTTTCTTCTGCAGCTTCTTCACCTCTCTCAGCCTTCATAGAAACGAAGAGTTGGGGCCTTGCTCTGGATTAGGCTTTGTCTTAAGGGAATGTCGCGGCTGGTCTGATCTTCTATCCAGACCACTCAGACTCTCTCCATATCAGCAATAAGGCTCTTTCACCTTCTCATCATTGGTGTGGTCACTGGAGCAGCACTTTTAAGTTCCTTCAAGAACTCCTTTGCTTTCACCAATTTGGCTAACTGTTTGGCGCAGGAGGCTTAGTTTTCAGCCTATTTGGGCTTTTGACATGCCTTCCTCACTAAGCTTAATCATGTCTAGCTTTGGATTTAAAATGAAGATGTGTGACTCTTCCTTTTACTTGAACACTTAGAGGCCATGGCAGGGCTATTAATTGGCTGAATTTCAGTATTGTGTCTCAGGGAATAAGGAGGCCCTGGGAGAGGGAGAGAGAGCAGTCAGAGCACACACAACATTTATGGATTAAGTTTGCCATCTGATATGGCACGGTGTGTGATGCCCCAAAACAATAACAATAGTAACATCAAAGATCACTGATCACAGGGCTTCCCTGGTGGTGCAGTGATTGAGAGTCTGCCTGCCAATGCAGGGGACACGGGTTCAAGCCCTGGTCTGGGAAGATCCCACATGCCGCGGAGCAACTAGGCCCGTGAGCCACAACTACTGAGCCTGCGCGTCTGGAGCCTGTGCTCCGCAACAAGAGAGGCCGCGATAGTGAGGGGCCCACGCACTGCGATGAAGAGTGGCCCCCACTCGCCGCAACTAGAGAAAGCCCTCGCACAGAAACGAAGACCGAGCACAGCCACAAATAAATAAATAAATAAATAAGATCACAGATCACTGTAACAAATATAATAATGAAAAATTTGCAATATTGTGAGAACTACCAAAACGTGACACAGAGACACCAAGTGAGCAAATGCTGCTGGAAAAATAGACTTGCTCGACTCAGGGTTGCCACAAACTTTCTATTAGTAAAAAACACACTATCTGTAATGAGGTCTGCCTATATTGGAAAAATGAAATAATATTCTTTCCCACAAACAGCACCCTGTGACCTCCCACATGGGAAGAGCAA